GTGTGTGTGTGTGTGTGTGTGTGTGTGTGACTATATATGAAGGTCAGATGAATTCACACAAAAACACCCTCATGTATACACACTGCTTATGAACTGATAGTGTCCTCATTATGATATAAATATGGAGGAGCTCGAGCAGAAGGTTCGGTGACACTGGGACAAGGTGATGCGATTGGGCAGGTGTGCTTGTGTGAGTGTCAGCTTTTTGTGCCAGGACAGCAGGTGGCACGTCGAAGCGACCTTCTACTTATCTTGTATTTCACCTTCAGCCCAGAGTCCATCTTTCCTCTAAATCCCTAAAGTGCAAATTTATCTGATCTAGCACAAGTCATTGAGAGGAGGATCCCATTCGCATGCACGTGTGGGTGACTTTTACACAAACTAATGCGGGATATTGTTTTGACAGGGTGTTCAGGACAAATGCAAATGTGTGTTGCGTCCTCTAGGCAGAGAAGAATCGTGAGATGAGGTGGGAAATGAAAAGAGTGGCTGGTTCAGACTATTCTTACCTTTTGTAGCTGATGAAAGAAGAGCAGTAGGATTCAAATGGACGCATTGTGTCGGGGGGAGAGAAGAGAGAGGACAATGCGGGAGAAGTGAGCAGCAGGGAAAAACATTGATGTCGATGACACATGAATGGTGACGGTAAGTATGCAAAGCAGTCACACACTCACTCTTCGTCTGCGAGGAAAAGGCCAAGGTGAGTTTGGCAAAGAGCTCATTGTTTTCATATTTCTCCTCTTTGGCAGATATCCAAAAGCTGTTCTCCGAAAGGTCTTCAGGTCCAATCTAAAAGGAGAAATTGATGTTAAGACACTAATATGAGACAGACAGATGGCATGCCACATGGAAATAATAATGTTTCAGAAACTAATCAAACTTAGTTCGCAATAGTGTTTACGAGTGCACCTGCCAAGTTGTGCGCTACAAACAGCGAGGCCATAAACAAAGAGACAAGGGCATTGTAGTAAAGGGGGGGATGCGTGTAGAGAGGAAGGGAGGCTGAAAAGAGGAGGAAGAAAGGGAACAAGCACTCATTTTCTCTAATCTGCACACTGCCTGCACCACAAAGCGGCTTTCGCTTCAGAGCTTCACTTAGAAGTCTGAAGAAATAAAGAGGGTTGCACTTTTTCTGCACCCCCCACTGTTCTGCACTTTCTATTCTGGTCACAAGTTACAATTAACTTTGCATGTGGTTCCATCACTTTCTGAGTGTTCTCATTAGGAAAAGAAGAGAGTGAAAGCACTGGTGGTAAATTGACAGATATCAGGCGTTTCATTATGGACGAAGCCTTAGGGAAAGGGGGTGGGTGTAGGAGGATGGAAAAGGCCGAATGGTGGGGAGAGAAAGTAATACGGGGATGAGCAAAAGGATGATGAGCAAAAAGGTCTCACAAAAAAAAAAAAAAAAAAAACCATGGGGCACACAAAAAGCAGGTTGAGTCTTAAAAAAAAAAGGTAATTTAAATTACAAAAGAATACGGTCCTCTCTCGCCACGATTTAATTATCTTTCAGTGGAGCAGTTACAAGAAGAAGGCTTATTAAAAAGCAATTTTCTGTGACATCCTCGTCAAACACTCGCCAGACTGAGCAAGCCACAGCGAGAAGGAGAGAGAGGGAAGCTAAACATTGATGAAGTCTGCCGAAGCCATTAAACAGTAGCTTGAGGCTAAAGGAAGACAGAGGGCCATTTTGATGTTTTAACCATCACAGATGAGAGGGAGGCAGAGAGCATGAAGGATAGTCATGAGATAAAGGTACGCAAGGCTCTGCACATTTCAAACTCAAAGATGTGTGCAACACCACACTGGGCTATTTAAAACTGTCAAACTTAACTCCAGAATATCATTTTCAATATACGAATAAAAAGTGGAACAGGTTGAAACACCCAGAAAGTAGTTCAACCAGAATTTCCTCAAATGTCAAAACCCAATTTTGGCTTCAGCCATCATCATGCTGTCGTTAACATTTGAAAGAATCATCGACTTTGGAAAACCAATAAACTCCTTGTTGTGAAATCTGGCCAACAATTTATGTTTTGCCCAAGCCTTCATCCGCAAACACACAGCAAGCTCTTCTTTGTCCTTCCAATCACCCCACTACTGACTTAACCATCCAATCACAAATAACACTTGACTCCTTCAAGGTCTCACGGGCAGTCAGAAATGTATACTCTTGCAACAATTCAAGTTACACATGCATGAGAATAACACACTCGAATAACTCCCTTTTTCAAAAGCTGATTTTCCTTTGTACGAGGGATTTCCCTATCATATTTTTTGCACCCGGAATACTGTCCAAATCACTTGATGTTTGGTATCTGGTGATGACGAGTCCTGAGCCAATACCTCTGCAATGCAATAAAGAAAAAGAAGACCACATCTAAATTGTCGCAATTAACCTCATTTTTTTTTTTAACGTACCTTTCCTTTTTTATGGCTCCAAATCAGTAGTGGCTCAAATATGGTAAACTAAAATATGTTAGTTACTCTTGACTTAGAAATTAAGAACATTTTCAAAAATATGTTCTTTTTCAGCTGATCCAATCATCGGAAAATCATGTGATCAGCCCCGATTTCCGATCATGGCGATCCGATATAGACAACACTACTTTGTAATGTATTTTTCAGACAAGCTACTCTAAAGTATAAGTCACAATTTTTTCAAATTAAAAAAAAAAAAATACCAAGAACAGTACAGCTCGGACTCGCATCCAAAATCCCCGTTCTGTTGTCATGGGCGCAATCAGAAATATGTTAAAAATGTTAATACTTCATTTCTGACTTTCAGCAAGGACAAGAAATTATCCGAATGTGATTGGGTGAACAGAGGGGGGTTGGGGAAAGCGAGTGATCAAACTTGTGTTTCCGGCGAAAACGTGTATAGCGAGTTGACTGAAAAAAATATCAACATCATCATTGATTATTCCACTTTGACTGAACTATCATCACCTTAGGACCGATTACAAAGAAATTGGAAGTCAATCAACCCCTATTGCAGAATGCATCAGGAATCAGTTGTCTAACATTGAGTTAAACTTTTCTTTATACTTGTATCATGCTGTAATTTGGAATGCTCGGATGGCCGCAGTTTAATACTGGAATGTATGAATTCCCTTAATCTTTCCTATGGGTAGCTAAAAATGCCATCAACCAGTTAACCATCGTGTGTTCAACTTTCTAAGTTCCACTGCTTTCATTGCCCATTTTGATACCAGCAATGGGTTGTTCGTACATATGAAGTTTTTAATTTTTAGAACACATTACTAAGATGTATTGCGAGTGTTGTCTTCATAAAATATATTAATTGTGATACAATTGTAATGTATAAATAACATATAAATGAGTTCAATATAACCTTGCTCCAGTTGGCTCTCTTCAGTTGCACTTCAGGCTTGTACTCTTTCTTAGGCTGGAGGCCATGCGGCAATTGAACTACTGCAGGGCGTCCCCAGCCTCCCATGCCAGACGGTGGAGGTGGAGGCATACCAGGACCTGGAGGTGGTGGAGGGATACCAGGACCACCTGGTGGCGGAGGCGGTGGGGGAGGTCCCATCCCGGGCAAAGGTGGAGGAGGTGGCAGTCCTGGTGGTCTTGGCATGCCAGGCAGGGGTGGAGGTGGTGGAGGTCCTGGCATGCCTGGTAAGGGTGGCGGTGGTGGAGGGCCTGGCATCCCAGGTAAGGGCGGCGGAGGTGGAGGGCCTGGCATCCCTGGTAAGGGCGGCGGAGGTGGAGGGCCTGGCATCCCTGGTAAGGGTGGCGGAGGAGGAGGCATGCCGATTTGAGGAGGTTGTGGAGGTGTTTGCAGGGTTGCATGGCTTGGCATGGGTGGGGCAGGAGGTGGTGGAGGCAAACCCCCAATGCGGCCAGGGACAGGAGGGGCACGTGGTGGAGGTGGCACACCAGGCGTTGGCACAGGAACTGTAACAACTTTAGTCTTCGCCTCTTCCAGATCTTTGGATAGCGTTTCAATCTGAATGAAAGGAATTATGCACTAGAATGAATGCTATTTTCAAGACATCTTTTATGTTTAATAATCACTTGTCTGCTTTATAGTCCATTAAATCATATTTCTGCCATTTCCAAGTGATGTGCATGCCAAAAAAAGTGATTAGATTATGCAGAACAAAAGGAGGAAACGGAGTTGACATATAAAAGGATTAAAGTCTAGGCAGAACGGTGTGTTGAGAGAGATGAGAGGAGAATGGAGGACAGGCATAGAAAATATAGCTGGGGATTAAATCCTCAAAAAATGTGTGAAGAGTTTATGAAAAAAAGCTGACAAACTACGACATGTTGATGCCAGGGCTCGTGCTCCCTGTCCGCCACACCGCCACTAACGAGATGAAATAGGAAGTGACATGGTAAATAGTTCCCATGTATGCCACTCCGGCGATGGCCGTGCGTCAAAATTGCCCCGGCAAAACACAGAAGTCATGGCTAAAAAGTACAAATGTTCGTATGCCAAAAATGTTTAAGTACAATTTTCTTCACAGGCAGTTACTCATATCATTGGATAAAGTATTAACAACATTGCTTGCCAAATAAAGTGGAAAAAAATGTCAATCCAATGATGTAATGTTTACATACACCCTGCAAAGACATCTGTGTTTTTTTTTTCTGAATACATTATTTTAGAAGTGTTGAAAAAGACCGGCTAACAATTTAGTACTGAACTGCTAAGATTTATCACTAAACTACTGGTATTTTCACAGGCCCAGTCATCCAGATTTTTGGAGATGGGGTTGAAATGCAGGCAAGCTGATAACCAAGGAACAGCTTTCTTTCTGATGATAACCTGGCTCATTTTTACCACTACAATGCCATCAAGCTATGCCTACAACCCGGAGGAAAATAAACAAACAAATAAATCTTCCTTGAAGCTTTAGTGTGTTTTGTGTTATTTGGGGAACAATATCTCTGCCATATGTGTAGTACACGCAACAAGACAGCAACAAAACATAAACATGATGACATGGCTAAGTGGCTAACTACATTTAAGATTTTTTATTCTGTTTAGCCACATTGGCTAAGAGGTTACACGACAAAGCGCCAAGCCCGGAATCCCAATTAATAATAATCATAACATTAACAATAAGAGTCCTTATTGTCTAACTTGCTAACACTCCTAAATAAAACTTATACTAGCTTATAAGCTGTTTTCAGAACGTTTGATAGTAGTGATGATTTAATATGGATGTCGTGTGGTTTGGATAAATGACGGTTAAACCAAAGTCAAGGAAGCATGTATGAAAGTTAAGATACTACGTTTATTCAGCGATGACAGAATGTGTTTATATGCAGCTTGATTAAGAGTGTTGTTTTATCAGACTTTCAAAAGATGACAGTAACAGACTTTAAGGGCCTCAGAGGCAAGCTTCTGTAATGAGGCAGCAGATGAAGAGTTGGGCGTCGCATCAAACAGAGGGATGGCTGAATACGAAGAAATCTTCGGTGGGCAGTGTCTCAAACAGAAAGAAGGGGAGCCATTTTAGTTTGAAAAGCCTGTTTGATGTTGATGCTTTGGACAACTCTGTGAGCATGTGCGAGTGTTTGGGCTTTTGAGTGGCAAGAAGATGATTCTGGCTCCCAAAGCCTGGATGAATCTCATTTTGGAGATTGTGTAGTCTAAATAAAAAGGCTCACAAAGGCATGACACACAGGAAGAAATGTATGTGGTGACACACATATGTCCAGCAGCAGATTGTTCTGGGTCACTTGGAATGTTAGTTAGTTCGAGTTTGGGTATCACAGCGCAGCAGAGTCCAGCTGGTGTCGCAGCAGGGTACTGACAGCCAGAAAAAAAATGAAAAAAGTTTTCAAACATTGTCCAGTAAAAAGTGCTATTTTTAAGACTACCAATAGCTATAAAAGCCATGCCACACGTATAGTTTGTGTGGTTAATAATATAACCATGATGGCTGATTAAATCAGATGAATACTGTATGTAGAAGTAATTTTTGCCTCGTGCCTATCACCTGTAATGAGTTGGATTTAGCTCCCTTCGCAATATCCTTTCGCGGCACCCTCGCTTTTCAGGAGAAACTAGTGACAGTGGAGTAAATCATTTAAAACCGCAGGGACGCTCGACGATCAGGTGGATGTGCAAAGCTATTTGGCAGCAACAACTCTTCAACAATATACCTGTATCTGTCTGAGCTCAAAAAAAGTGCCAATTCTTGCAGATTTTGCTGTACGCATGTCCAAAATCAAACAACCCTGATTTGAAATGTCACTGGAAATGACAATAAACCTGAAATAACATCAGTAATATGCATCAGAACTTTAAGAGGTTTCACAAAACCACAGCCGTAAGACATTTAAAGGCTAAGTCAGGTCAAAAAGCAGCAAAATCCACCTGTTTTTACCCATCTCAGGAGGTAGTCACTTTGCTACTTGCTGTTAACCGCAAATGACATCAGTACTCCTGGAACCTTTGTCGGACTGCCTCATTTAGCACAGGGGTTCCACAGCACTCCGCCATAAATGAAAATCTGTGAAGATTACTTTTGCTGCATATATTTTAAAGCTTTCTTCATACTACCTATACAAGATATTTTGATCCACTTGTGGTCACCATCCTCATGTTCTAGAATAGACTGTCGGATCTGTGACTTTGAATGTGTGTGGCATTAAAGCCATCATGTACCTGCTGTTGCAAAGTGCTTAGCTGTTGCTGCAGACCCTGGTTCTCCTTTTCCCGCTCATGCTTGGAGGAGGCCAGTTGCTCCTTTTCTTGGCTCAGCTCCTGCAACTTCTGTTCATAGTCGCCCTCGAGTTTCTTCATCTCCACCTGCAACTCGTGGCGTGCGGTCAACTCTGCATCCAGCTAATGCACATAGAGAAAGGGAAAATAGGGACAGTCTTAAGACCTTATGTTATGGCATAAATGGGTACTACCACAAATGCTCTTTGAGTGCTGCAGTTAGTTCCACTCCCACTCACATTAACTTCTGAGACTTCAGCAGAAAAATGGTAGGGGATAGAATGAGAAAAATATTACAAACAGTTTTAACTGTCAATATTGTCAACATTGAAGAATCAGTGTGTATTAAGTTTAACTTCTCGGAGGCTTTGCAAATACGCTATCAACAAAAATACACATAAATAAGCAGACATAGCTGTTGACTTTGCAGGCAGCAGATTCTTTACGCCGGCTGTCAGCTTCCTGACAGCCTCATTCCTAATTCCTGCCAAAGAACGTCTGCAATTACCCCATCACACACATCTAGAGCTAATATGTGTGGGTGGCCAATGACAAAAAAAATGTCTGCGATGTGTGTGTGTTAATTTTTGCAGTGTATTGATATGATCCAGTGTGTGACAGTCAGGGATAGTTTCAGCTCCCTCTGCAATTATCCTGTCACTGGGACGGAAACAGAATAGCAGCACACCGCAATTAAAGCATTTAGTCCTTTATGCGAGAGTGTGTGATGCTAGTCTTTAGGTGTATTTTTGTGTCTCATAGCTGTCAAGCGTGCGTGCACGCACGCGCACACACTCATTCTTTTCATCATATTCTGTTCCTCATCTCTTTTTCCCCTCATTTGTCAGCCAATGTCAATCAAATACTGGCCACACAGAATGTTATTAAATCCTGTGACATAATATTGGTGAGGGAGAAATCTATTATCTTCTGGGCCTTTAGGATGATAAAGGCTTGTATGCAAAGCAAATTAATGTGTGTGCATTGTACCTTCTTCTCAAGCTCAATCGCCTTGGCCTCACTGGTTTCCACCTTGGTTTGGTCGACCATGTTGTCTGTATACCAACAGAATGAATGAAAAAAAAAGGGGGGGTTGAGTTAGGCAAACTACAGTGCAGACACAATAGGTGCTAATTTGCCGACTAGTGACCGGTCAGTTAACATTTATAAAACAGACATACAATGTCTGTAGGAAGATTGGTAAGATTACTATAAGGTAAACTAAACTAACATAATAAACATGGACAAGTCAGTGTAATAATAGATTTGAAAAAAAAAAAGTGAAAAGGACCCTGGGTCACTAGCAGGGTCCTCTAACAGTGTAATTGCAGGGTCTACAGGTGGTTCAGTGCTCAAGGACTTATTGAACATGTGCAGTAAAAGGGCTAATTAACATGAAGATGAATGCCCCAGAGACTGGATCAGAGACAGCTGGATGAAACAGATAGTAATGACAGGACTCACTTTAAGAACTACAAATAGAGATGGAAATTATATAAATGCACACAAAGTGAAGCATACAGAATGGGGAGTACATAATGTGAAAGCTTTTCTGCAATGGCAGAATGGCTGGTGGGTAAAAAGAAACCATTCAAGTCAATTCGGTGCAAGTAAGATAGAGCAAAATGGGAAACATATTTTGTCAGAATTGCCCCAAAAATATGGCAACCCACGAGCAGCATTTGTGTTATCCGTTTTTATATGATTATTGGACATATAATGGAGGAGGGATTTTTCTGTCATGGTGGCAAGGCTAAATGGGACAAACTTCGAATAGAGAGCACGAAAAGAGATAGAATGTGGGGGGCTGTGCTGAGTTTCCGAGTTCAAAGAAAAACACTAAATAATGCATGCGGGGCAGAATTGGTCTGCTTTCCACTGATAATAACTGTAGCAGCCTTTAAGGGGGCCAGAAAGGCTGTGTGTGTGTGTGTGTGTGTGTGTGTGTGTGTGTGTGTGTGTGTGTGTGTGTGTGTGTGTGCACACATACACGAAACTTAGAGCTGTGTGTGTGTGTGTACACGCATTTAGACGTAATTAGAGCCTCCTCCTGTGAACAACTGAGACCTGCTCATAAAGGACTACTGAACTCTGGAGACATTGCCTGCTTCACTGCCGACTCGTTCTGTTGATTGTTTTTTTTTTTTTTTTCTTGACCGCACATTAACGACCCGTCTATGGCTACGTTCAGACTGAAGGTTACACACCATTTAGATTTTTGTGTAAAATCCAATTGTTTAGGTTAATTGTTCACATGTTAAAGTCTGTCTGTTGTGTGAATCAAATGCGCCCCCAACGTGACCTGCATGCGAAGAGGCAGTGATGACATCACTCACAACGTAGTGTTTATGGAAGTAAATATGATCCAACGTGTAGAACCTTATCTTTCCATCATCTCATATCGACAGAGGAGGGATGTGGGAGGAGGTGGAAATATTTAAGGTGGAATGAGTCAAGGCTTTTCTAACTCATTTCATGAAGATATGTACTAAAGATGACATTACGTCATTGGCGCACATAATAAATGAACCGTCTGCGTGGCTGAATTACTTTGATCACCACAAACGTCCACTTTATAGTTTATAAGTGCAATTAAATTTAAGTCAATTATATAGTCAATACTGTGATGACATACAGGTTGGATACATGCGACCTGTCCATTCACACTGAGGTTGCAAAAACTCTCATATATTCAATCTACGACCCAGTTCGGATTTAGGGGAAGAATTTTTTTTTTTCATTTATAAATTATAATTAAATAAATATGCCAATCACACACTCATTCAATGCTACTATGACACGCTCGTGTTTTTAGTTAAATACGGGTAATTATAATAATGAAGAGCACAGTGTATTGGGGTTAGCATGTGTGCTTCACAGTCCTGAGGTTTTGGCTGTCCAGCGAGTGGGTTCATATGCTTTGCCTGTGCTTGTGTGCGTGTGCGTGTGTGTGTGTGTTTCCGCCGGATACTGTGGCTTCATTGCGCACTCCAAAAACATATGTTAGCGTAACTGAAAATGCTAAATTGTCCATATGCGTGGATGTGAATGGTTGTTACTGATGTGCAATTGGCTGACAACCATTTCCAGATATTACCCACCTCTCAAAGTGAGCTGGATCAGGCTCCAGTGCACCAAAGTGCCTCATGAGGACAATTATGATTTGTAGCTTAAATGTTTCTATGTATAGTTTTGACACCGCACCATATTATTGACTGTGCTGAATTAGTAAAGAGGAAATGACAAACATGAATTAGCTCGGCAGTTTCCTGAACTATTTTTGAACAGGGTTGCCATGAATAAAAATTGAAACCACCGGAGTAGACACCAAAAAGTCTGTGCTACTCAATGTAAAAAATAAATACAGCAGTACATCAGCCTTTTCGAACAATTACGCTAGTGTGGAGTTGCACAAGGGTTTGTTTCTTTTGCAAAAAAACAGAGTTCCTGACATGTGCAAGAGGAATTTTAAAGGAAATACTTCAAAACCAACAACGTTTGGATGTTGTAATCTGTTGAATCATCATGGACGTGATATTGCAAGACACCAAGTTATTCTATATCGTTTTGTCTTATGTGTATGGAGTTACACTGAATGAGTGGTACAGGCCGGCATTACATTCTGTAGGGCGCAACCCTGTGGTCTGCCTGAGGTGCTACATGTTTCATTCAGACATGAAGATAAGATAAGATAAGATAAGAAAACCTTTATTAGTCTCGCAATGGAGAAATTCCCAATTCACAGCAGCAAAGTTATGAAAGGAAGACGTAGAACAACAAAGGGAAGGTTGTCTTGAGCAAATCAGCCTTGCATTCAACATTTATGAGGTTGCTGCACATTTTAATTTCTTTCACATCTGACAATGCAAGTGATTAATGCAAAAATGTTTCATCACCATCAAAATAATATCCCAAATAAATGTAGTTGAGAAAAGCACATGGTTTGTGGTGCATTTTCTCACAACTCACCAATTAAGCCTTCAATGTTGAGCCTGATGTTGCGGCACTTAAAGTCCGGGTCTGCTCCATTCCTGTGAAGCACGATCTGAGCAATACACTCATCTATTAACTTGTAGTACTGAGGCCTGAGGGAAAGAGTGACAGATTGACAAATAAACAATTAGTAGAAACAGAAAGACACTAACGTGGGAGGGGCAGACAAGTGTCTAGAAACGGGGTATGGGTTTGCTATATCTCATGACAATTATTGCAATTTATGGTTTTCATAAGCCCATGATGGCCTAGTTTACACACGTTGGTAGGAGCAAGTACAAACGCGTACTGTGTCTTTTATTTTTGTCTTCTACCGGGATTTGAAGTGTGCGATGGCATGACAGTTTCACTTTCTTTTGTATACTGTTTGACTGTGTGTGTGCGTGTGTGTGTTTGTTGATACAGAAGCATGGAACTGTGACTCATCAACTCAGCTCCACCACAAAACTTTTTGGAAGGGTCTTATTCCTTGACCACCTTACATGCAGCCATATGTTATTTACTCCATCTGCCTACATTGCTTACCTTTCTTACCATGTTTTTGCAAGGCATATTCTCCACTCAATCACCAGACTTCAACAGAATGTGTGTGTGTGTGTGTGTGTGTGTGTGTGTGTGTGTGTGTTTTCAGCAAGACAAAAATTTAAGCGTGGAGCGACAGAGACACCTAGTGTAATTTTTTGAAAACTGTAGTTGGAATCAGAATCACACTCAAGATGACATCTGTCTCTGCATTGTTCCCCAAGGTACGGCTTTGCAGTGTACTGTCACTACACGTGCACTCTGTTTTCATCACTGTAATTAATTATGTTTCCCACAAACTCACACTACGGCCTTCCTCACCTATGCCTTAATCCCAATCTTTTGAGAATCATATCTTAGTCTACCTGTATTACTTTCCACTGAGCCACCTGGATGTAAAGATTTCAATTACAGTATTTCATTGTCCGTGTTGGTAAATAACAATAAAAAAAACCATTAAATGAACACAACAACATTAACCATCCTTCCATTATCTGAACTGCTTTATCCTCAATAGGGTTGCGGGTTTGCTGGAGCCTATTCGAGCTGTTTTTGGGCAGTAGGCGGAATAGACCCTGAACTGTTTGCCACCCAATCACAATCAGTGTTCAATGAACCTACCGTGCATGTTTTTGGAATGTGAGAGGAAACCGGAGTACCTGGAGAAAACTCACGCAGGCACGGGAAAACATGCAAACTCCAGACAGGAAGGTATGGTGACTGGTTGACGAGGGAGGGAATCAAATCTGAACCTCTGCACTTTAGTGGTGGACGCACTAACCGTCAACCATCATGGCACACAACAACATTAATGTAAAAATGTGAAGAGCTGCCTAACTTTGCGTGCATGGTCGTTTTTGGTGTTGCTATGGAACAATACAGTTCTTCCATTAGTGCTAACATGTGTTCACAGATGCACCACACAACGCAATATAAAGCTCCATCCACTGTGTCAATCAATAATGATATCTTGCTTTCATTGCTACATTTTTTTATAGCTAGGACTCCAAAAGAAACAGAGAGAGGAATTATCCTTTTGCTGGAGATAAGGGTTGATGGGCACTCATTTCTATTAAAATCAAACTGGTATGTAATTTCAAACATTTACAAGCGTGTGCGAGTGAGTGAGAGAGAGAGAGAGAGAGAGAGAGAGAGAGAGAGAGAGAGAGAGAGAGACAGCATGTCATTGCCAATAAGTTTCTGTAAATATGCTTAATATGTATGAATGAATGTGGAATGAGTCACTGTGAACTGCAAGCCATCAAACTATTTACTCTTTGAATTCTCATCATTATTAACACACTGAAAACTTTAATAGCTATTTTATTGCATTCATTTTGATGAGTCAGTGAAGGGTATAAATATTTTATACTATTTTGGAAGAATAATGGAATATTGCGAACTTGCAGCTGACTGTCCCTTTTTCCCACATGGGTGTTGTCTGATTCTTGTATGTAATTCATGCAGCATTTTAAAAAATAGTGTCATGAACACTTGTAAACTACTAACAAATATGTGAAACTCATGGGAAATGGTTTCAATTTATTTAAAAACGAATGAAAAAAAATTGGTCTAGTTGCCATTTTGAATAACAAAAGCAAAAAAATAAATAAATAAATAAATAAAAGAAAGAAAGAAAGAAAGACTGAACCCGTGTAATAGAACAGCAGTATAACAGAAAAATAAAAACAGAAAAATACGTAGCCGCAGGTGGTTGGGAGATGCATCGATTATTATCTGGTGGTTCTTTCTGCTTATTTCACAGCAACCAAACTCAGATCAATACCACATAACACGATTCCAAGTTTCATACTGGACCTCTTGATAGGAACTGTAATTCATAAATTAATAAATAGGAGCTTCTTACTCAAAATAAAATTTCAAAACCCAGCCTCTTGCTTAAAAAAAAACGTGAAAAAAGGTTAGGATTGCACGACTGTCCGTGTTTTATGTTATGTGTTGTGTTTATTATTATGTGTTGTGTTTATTATTTTACTTCATGTTAACTGTTTTGTGAAGTGCTTTGTTACAGTTGCAGCTGTTGTGAAAGCGCTACATAAATCAGGATGTATTGTATTGTAAAAAAACGGAAAACTACCACAAACACTAAATCACAGTTTTGATATGCAGATGTGTCCTCCTAGGAAAAATGCATTGATACGATGACTGTAAAGTGTGTGTATACGTGCGCACTACCTGGCCAAATAATCATTGCGGATCAGCAGGAGGTGCTGCATCAGGGAGAGGAAGTTGCTTTCAGCTTTGGAGTCCTTCACCGTGTTGACCAGAATGTCAAACACTTCCCTCACATCAGTAAAACAAATTCAGTTAAGGCAAAATGTCCATATAGTCACGTGAGGCACTCAATTTGCAATTGGACCTATTTGCACCAAAACTGCTATGATAAGTAAACACAAGCCTTTGTCCAATCTGACATCCAAAAAATATTTAGACTCTTCATTGTGTTTATATTTATATACCATATGTGGTTGTCAGTGTATGATGTGCAACATAAATATACAGCAGGGTTTAAGGTTAATTTCCAGTTGAGGGATTCAGTCCAATAAGTCACAACTAAAAAAAAAACAAAACAAAACCCCCCCCAAAAAAACCCTACAGATTTCATTGTGACTATAATGTGGATATTTGAGACACCTGGTGTTGAAAACGGTAACTGCAAGTTGTATAAAAAGCCCTTTAATTAAATTAAACAACTCCGGAAATTTTTGAGAAAATGCCTATTCAACAAGACTGACATAATGGCACTCAGAATTCAAAATATTTTTGTGGACAAACATGATGTGACACACACTGAATTCTTTAAGCTATGTACAATTTATTTTGCTTAAATTTTGCTGCTTGCACTCGCGTTCCTAATATGTTCAGAAATGATGGATCAACTTAAACTGAAGGTGATACTGTGGCCTTAATTTATTTATTTATTTTGCTGTAAATGTAAACTATGCAGAGTGGCACTGATACTATGGAACGATCCAAAAATACCAAAAGAAATAATTGAAATGTGCTGTTCTTCAGAAAACTAAAATAAACACTTGTGTTGGTTTTGACTTTTGTTTTTATTTACTTTGTCAAAACGTTTTCTTTTCCTTCACAAGTACGCATAATTTAGAGTAGTAAATTGATCTACACAATCAAAATGTGCGAAGGACCTGGGAGGAAAAAATACGCTGAAGAATGAGGAGGAACATTTTTTTTTAATCACTACAAATTAGAATATTGTAATGAACTCAGTTTTGCATTTTATTGTTATGTGTTGTCCTTGAGGGCCTGTGGCAAATATTTCATGGTCAGAGTGGTCTGATTTCGCAGCTCATGAATGCAACATTCAACCGTGTGTGCACTTCCTGCTTTGATGGCAACCACTGGCAGATAAAAACTTTGTTTTGGTTGTTAACAAACCTGAGCTCACTGACTATGCCTCTGTAATCCAAAGTAGACGCAAAAATAATGTTGGCGTACCAAACAGGAGATGACGTTACGTTACATCAAACACACACCGTAACTTGTGTGTGCTAACTCCAGCTCGCTTCCAAACACAACTGTGTCTATGTCAGAACTGAAATCAGACATCTGCCACAGCGTGCTACTCTTTTAGATGATTGAGCATCACTGACTAATGCCTCCGTAATCCATAGCAGACGCAACATTATGTTAGCGTGCAACAGGATCATGTTTCAGCAAACACACGCGGTAGGCCTGTGCGTGTTAATGTTAGCCTTCAAACAGGACTGTCTGTATCTCAGAAATGAAATTAGGCTTCAGCCATAACGTGCTTCCTTTTGAGATGCTTGTTCATCACCGCCGTGCTGCTATGAAAGGCAGGGTTGCATCGTATCAAGTATTTTGTGTGACGTGCACCCCAACTTTCGGATTCTGCTGCTAACATGGGCCAAACCATGAAATTGCATTGTCCACAATGCTTCTGTTTACATCACAGATGACCCGGATTACCATGACTGCGCATGTGCGTCACAGAAAGGCATGCAGCCAGCGGGAGATGAGCCAGTTTCGCCAGAAAAACAAAGCGGCAAACAAATAAATAAAAACAACTCGTCAACTAAAATTTATTGTCTACAATATTGATCGTCAACGTTGTCGTGACTAGTCGGCTAATCGTGGCAGCCCTACTCTGCATCGTTGAGCACAGTGTTCATTTGAAATGACTCAGAGACAGGTAATCTTGAGAGTAGGCAAAGTGATTTTGTACACTTTCAAACTAAAAAACATTAAGGACAGTATAATTACCACATGCATTAAATGATCTTCTTTTGTTTTCGACCGAAAAGGATATTCCATCTCAATGCGGATGTCATCGAGGCGCGATTTAAGGTCCTCTGAGTCATCTTCGGCCTGCTCATCGAAGACTGTCAGTTGCACCCTGAGCTCTTCATTTTCTATTGTCCTCACCTCCTGTAAAGACAGAAATGGAAATAAACGCAAAATTTTATTTTATTTCAACATTTGTTTACCACAACATATGAACTTTCAATTTGGGCAGCATCAATAAAGCCACAGGGTCATGCAAATGTGAATGTTTAAAATGTATTGTGAGTATTTTCTCTACCTTAAGGCAGTCTCTCAGTCCTAATCTTAGAAGTTCAGACCGAATATGGATCCTGAAGTCCAACTCCTCTCCCCGACTAATCAGTGCATTGATTAGCTGCATGCATCCACCCTGAAAAGGAAAAAAAATGGTGAGATAAACCGTTGATAACCATTTCAAAAACACACAAAGTGGAGCACAGCAGGTGTATTATGGTGTCAAGATTTGCTATCCATCGTGTACGTTTTCTACCTTCAGGGTGATGCTGGAACTTTTCATGCCAGCTAGGAGAGGCTGGAATCTTTCAATGTCCCGTTTCTCTGCCTCCTCTGTGATGGCCTCTAGAACACGCTCATGACTGCAGAAAAATAAGGACTTAGCACCTTGTTGTTTTCAGTGATTACATGCATCGAGTGTTTTGAAAAGGTGACATTTTTGTGTTGGCAAAAAAGTTAAGATTCCAAACTGTTCACGCTGAACATCACAAGCCCATTCGTTTCCAACAATGCAAACGTCTTACAGATTGTCCGGGTGTTCCAATATGGAGATGGCAGAGAGCAGCTTGACAGCATCAACCATCATATGAGGCACCCTTGGGTCAATGGCCCTGACCAGCAGAGGAATTCCCTCGTCTGACTCCAGCATGGATTTTAAACCGTACTAAAGGGAAGGAGAGAACATATGGGATGAGTGAGGTTAAGATGATCACACAGTGAATAGCTGAATAGTCGTGAAGTCAACAAATCTGCATATAGCTGGTGAATCCTCGTACCTGCAAAATCATCACTTTTCAGGAAACTCCAAAAACGGCATGGTTGTTCATTCAACATTGCATTGTCAAAGAAAGCGTGCTGTTATCACTGCCGTGATGTGTAAATGTTCAAATGGTGTAATAATAAATACACAACACGGGAAATATAACCTCAGTTTCATTTTTGATGGTCTATCTATCATGATGTTCCCACAAGTGTCAAGTATTTTTGAGGTTTGAGAATCACAGCACTACAATGTTGAGCCAATCTTTGTTTTTACCTTTGGAATAATCCCACCCTCTGGTGGAAGAATTGCCAAACAACACCTGGGAGACAAGAGTGGTTACTTGTCCCATAATGTTTCTTTGCAAATGCAAACTTTTATGACATTAACTTTGCTTTTCAAGGCCACCCCCAACGACAAGGATTGTGTATTTTAAAGGAGGTAATAAAACAGTCTTACCTTGTTGTTCATGAAGGCTTTCAGACAGCGTATGATCTCATGTTGACATTTCACTCCCATCATTCTAGGAGGATGACATATTAATACATACACTATTTGCATAAACAACTGGACTCTCTGTGGTTTGAGTTTCTTACGGATACTCGTCTTTTTCTTCCTGCAGTCTTCTGAGCAGGTTCAACAGAAGAGCCAGGCCTTCATCTCCGAAATTCTGTACCCAACTACAAGACACAAAAGCACTTGATTAGGAAAATGTATTCTTGTTTTATCCGATGTGTTTTTTTTTATTTTTTATTTTAATGACTATGGCTATCGACACAAAGAGTATAGATGGGTGCATCACCTGACAGGGTTGTTATTGAGCGAGACCCGTAGAGATTCCAGGCAGCTCAGCAGCTGTGAGTCCCGGTAGTCTGACCTCAACTCCTGTATATACATCATGGCTGACTTAGAGCTTTCTTTCTGGTCTTGGCCCTGATGAACAAACAACAACAAAACAAGCAGTGAGACCAGTGTGTATAACTTCGTGATTTTCGACCTGAATAAATAAATAATAAAAATTTGAATTGGAGCAATAAATGACATGTAAATTCTTGATTGCTTTAAAAAGATTAGCCGAGCAGTTCCGCAAGCACCATTTTGATCTGAAAGTTCTTCTGGATCTCAGCAGGGAGTATATGGTACAGCTACAATGGTTAAATTAATAAACAATTGTATTCCATGTAGTTCTGACTTGATGGGTATAAGTTTGTAATTCCAACACTGCAGCATTTTTGCCTGGGGTTATCCAGTAGTACCTCGTTCATTTCAGGGGTTATGTTCGAGAACCTCCCCACAATAGACTAAAAAAGTGTGAATAATCCAGCCATCCGTCCATCCATTTTCCGAACCGGTTCCCCTCATAGGGTCGCTGACAAACTGCAGCCTACATCCCAGCAATCTTCGGGCGGTAAACGGAGTATCACCCTGAACGAGTAGCCAATCACAGGGCAATCTGTGAAATAGCTACCATATATTTCTTTTATTGTTTACATATATTATAACCATCCACACATTCTAATGAGCTGTTATACAATCTACACTTTCTATTTGGGCTGCGGAAATCGAATACCTTAAGATTAGATTATTATATCGATCAAGCCATCAATTTCTAGACGAAATGCATAAAAAATAGATTTGACATAATATCAACACAAAAAATTGTATGTGAGGTGTGGGTATTAGTTTTATCCACTTGCTGACCTTCCTTACGTTCTACACTGTTGGGTAGGTGACTTTGACTTTAAAAGCGAGTGTAGTGGCTGTTATCAGCTCAGCTAGTGTATGCACATACTTGTTACATGTTTAATTTATGAAAGTGCACCAGCGGCTGTGTCTATACTTGACCACCTCTGGAAGGACTACAATTAATTCTAAGTACTGGCAGTGGCAGGCTCCATTAAATTAGCTAATAATGTTTAGTTTACTGGAGATGTGCAGTTGTGTAAGCCAGTTCTGATTTACAGTAAACACGTTGCACTCTACTTTTTTTTTTCGTTTTAAGTGTGAAGTGATTCCACCCTTTGGACATTCTACCTCTTGTATGCACGCTTTCGTCCTGCCTGGCTATTGCTACGCGAGTCTATAGTAACATTGGTCCATGTGGAAAAATGATCACCATAAGTCCTCGCAATATAAGGAAAAATCTACAATATAAAATGAGAAATGCACGATTTAAAAAGCTACGATATAGTGGGACCACAACAGGGCGACTGAGGACTGCATTGGGCTAGACTTTATACCGATCCGATCAAGTGTATCGAAATCTGTTGATATTTTGCACTTGATGCAAGTTCAGTGATCGACTGTGGTATCATAATTTGCGTGACCTATCAATGATTTAATTGACAGGAGCCGCAAATAAGACATTATAGAAAACACAACCTCATTGCTGCCACAGTGTATAGGTAAGCCTGAAAGCTCACTTAGTTTTAGCCTTGACTCGTGTCGAGCGGGAAAGACTTTGCATCGGGAGGCGGAAGTCCCATCTCTGCCTCCTCGACCATCGAATCACGAAGTAATCGCTTTCGTGTAGTTTTTTTTTTTTTGGACTGGTAAAAAGTCTAAAAACCATTTATTTGTCCAAAAAAGAACTAACAACGGTATGTGTGTCATGGATTTAATTTGAACATCTCTTTAATTTTAAACAGCTGACATCACTCAGCATAAGTTACATTAGGGGTCCCCAACCGCCGGTCCGCGGACCGGGACCGGTCCGCCGGGCATTTGGTACCGGGCCGCACAGAAAGAACTTGCCTTT